AAGTAAAAAATAAATTCTACAGAAAAAAATATAAATGGTAGGAAAATGAAATGATGAGGTTGTGTGAAATTGCACTTTGGTTAGCAAATAAGGCATGATAGTCTAAGACATATTGGAAGAAAATTTAAAAGCCCCACACATATCTGGAAGAATAATTATTGATTAAATAATAATAGGTTATAAACACAGAACACTATTAATCTCTGCTAAGAACACAAGTGATTTTGATATAACAGAGATTATGATTAGAATTTAAAGAGTGAAACAATAAAACAGACTAGAAACATATTTATACACTGTGGACTGTTCAAGTACTTTTGGATTTTACTCCAAATCATGAGAAAAGCTATGAGGAACTGAATTTTTGGTTGCCTTTTGGTTTTGGTGTGAAGCACAGACTATCAAGGATGAATGCCAGCAGCAAAGATACCAAGTGGGGAATTCTGCAAAGAATATATATGAGGTCAGGACAACATGTTGTAGGGACACCTTCATGCCTACATGCATTGTGATAACAATTCACCGTAACAAAGCTGTACAATAATCATATATGGCAGTTAATGAATAAACTGAAGAATAATTAGAAAAGAAAACACGTGAGAGACAGGAGAGAAATGAGAGAAGGGCATAACCCTAAAAAAGAATGATATTATGTTGTTCCAGGGAAACTGGAGAACAAAATGTTGAATAAAAACAGAGTCTCACAGTCAATCACAGAAACATTCCTTTTTACTCGTGAAAGGGCCTAAAAACTGATAAAAAAATAAAAATAAAACTGTTAGTGGTGTCAAAGGAATAAGGAAAGAGAGAGATTAAGTGGTGAGAGTCCTAGAGGAAGAAAATATGAAAAGTACGAAGCACATGGATATGTGGCAATAAAATGGACAGTTCAATCTGTGCCACTAAGAAAGATTAGTTGCACAGACTATATATACACTCGAGGCCAGGTGCTCCGCTGTGCACAAAACCTGGCAGCAGTAGGGGAACAATTAGGGTTTACTATTTTACAAGGCATACAGTTTCAAAACGGTTATTTTCTAAACGTTAGAAGAAATTTTATTACAAGGTCTACATTCTCTCCCAGTTTTAGTATCCCCATTAATAGAGGAGGTTTATACATACAAATGCACAATAATAGTGAAAGTTGAACCATGCTACCAATTAAAGAGTAAATATTGAATAGTTTATTATCGTTAATTAATATTAAGTTTGGAGTGAATGCAAGATAAACCAAAACAACAATTAATATTGTAAGAACAGTAATATCATTGCACAGAACACTTTAAAAGATACATATTATGGCATAAGAACTATATTTCAGTAAACAAATAAAACATTCTAATGAAATGTTGGATAATTTTCTGAGTACATTGTAAATGATCATTAAAATTCACACTATCATTTCATGTAATAACAAAATTAACCAAATCAGAACACAGCAAGAAACTGAATGTGACATGCATTTTAAGCAAATTAAGCTATTTCAAATAAATAGCCATATAATGTTGTTGCCAACTATCTTAGATAACATTTGCATTCATTCCTTTGAATATCGAATTGCACCCTAAGGCCAAAGAAAATTACAGGGACTGGAGAGATGTTAAATTAGTTAAGAACACTGAATATTCTTCCAGCAAACAATTCTCATCATCCACATTGTGGCTATCAGAGGTACATAACGTGAGCTTCCAGGGACCAGGCTCCCTCCTCTGGCCTCTGAAAGTACTACACACATACATTCATGCAGAATAGCCACATATAAAACATAAAAATAAAATTTAAACAAAGAGGGATGAAAAATAGTTATTATATTTTAAGTGAGTGTATTTGATATTAAAATTTTATGACTTAATACTTTTAAATGTCTTTATGTATATTTTATGAACATTTTGTAAATTTCATTATATGCACTAAATAAATATGTAGTATGTGTATTAGAGACCTTAGTATTAACTCATTTTAATGTAGCTTTACAATATAAATAGTAATGTAACAGCTGAGTGGTAAATATATAAATATTTCAAGTATTTTAAATTTAATTAACAAAGATCATTTTAACTGATTTTGATTTTCTTGGAAGTATTTAATTTTCCATGCTCTAAATTCTTTCCATTTTCTTTTTTAAATGATTTTCACCAAATTTTAATTTTTCAAAATTCATTCTTCAGGTCAGTTTACAACACTGACAGTTTTCAATCAGAAAAGGTTTTATTACAAGAAACAATGACATCAGGAAAAATGCAAAAAATTGTGCAATTACAGCAAAATGTTTAAAAATATCTACACACTTGCCCCATAGGACTACAGTACTTAATACATACCTGAGCACTGAATATTGAATGACATTTTAAACTTCTTTACATGGGACTCTGGTTCCTTACAGATCACATCCACTTTTCCTCATGCACCAATGAAATCAGCTTGACGCTTACACATCAACTTTGTAGGAGAACAAGAAACAAAGACGACATAAAAAATTTCTTCTTTCCTACAACATAGTTACACCTAGCCCAGTTTTCATTGTATAAAAACTATATAGGAAAAATGCTATGTACATTCTTCAAACATATTTAAAGTGGGATTGGCATTTGTTAGATCTTTTAATTCTGAGGTAGCCATTGTGCCTTCTTCTAATATTCTCATACTATGAAAATGTATCTTAAGTATCTACACATAAACCCACATGTATCACTACTCTTAGTTTCCTAGGACCTTTTCTGAAATAATTTTAAAAGTGGCAAAATATCCCAGCTATTTAATGTAAACAAATAGTTCTTCATACAAAATTCACTATATATATTCTACTCCTATAGCAAATTCTAAACCTTGGCTTTGACACATTATATTTAGATGATACACTCAATATACACTGTTATAACAAAAGGACCAACTGTTGTACAGATCAACAGAATAATTCTAGCGTAGATTAGTCACAGTGTGTTGTTCTTTTATATATCATATGGAACATGTACATTGCTAACTCGATGTTCTATGTCTTGTTTTCAAGTAATACGTTTTCCTAAATGCAGAGATTGTCAAAGTGGCAGGAAATCTTAGATACTCAACAAAGCTTTCAAAAATAAATTACATGGATATCTCTTGTAAAAACTATTTTCCCTCTCATTAGCAATGCAAAACTGTAATTCAAACAATTCACAGAAATAACCCTAAAACAGCATGAAGCAAAAGGAAACACAAGACAAACTAGAG